GATTCACACAAATAGTTGAAGCATAGAATACATTTGAATATCTTTGATCAATCAGGTTTGAGCTTTGTGCACCGATAAACAACAGAAATGTTCTCGAACTTGACACAACTTGCAATTTATATTGCTCACATTAAATTGAGTGAAAATAGAGAACAATACTCAAAGAGTATAATCAAGATATGATATATGTATCAAGGTATATAAGGATGTTTCCCCTAAAATCGAGAATGTTTGTTGGATTTGAGACTGGTATTCAATTTGAAGACGGAATTAATTCAATTACTTAAGATTTCTATTTTATCAACTTCCTGATTGAATTCTTGAATTTTTTTGGAACAAATTTTTTAAATCATATTAAATAAGTTTCAAATAATGAAAATACAATTATGAAAATTATACAATTATTACAATTAAGTAGCAATTATACAATTATTACAATTAAGTAGCAATCGATAGTTGTTCTGCCTATTGATGTAAAAAAATGAATGTGTTTTTTGCAGAATACGAACAAGAAATTGTAAAATAAAACCGGTTGACTTAGCTAACATTTGTTTTAGTTAATAAACTGAATCATACAAATGATGAATGTACCAAATTCTATGGAATTAGTTTGTGAAATGGATTACATTTCTTCAGGCGTTGAAGTGGAAAATTGAAACGCTTAAAGGAAGTGATTGACAAGAATTTGGCAGTTGCAGTGATCTAATATATATTACATAAATGTATCTATGTATGCATGTATGTATTTATGTATGTATATATGTATGCATGTATGTATGTAGGTAAAGTATGATGAGGCAATATCATAAATAGTGAGGATAAAACCAGTTGCTGGCGCTGCTGCTGCTGCTGATGCTGTGGCTTGTTGTTGTAGGTTTGAATGGGTGTCAGTCTGCAACTCGCACATTGATATTGATGCGACCTGCAGTGATGCAGCAGCAGCCGCAGCAGCAGCAGCAGCAGCATCAACTGCATCAACTGCATCATCAACAGCAGCAGCAGCAGCAGCAGCAGCAGCAGCAGATAGTCAAAGGCATCGATTGCTGCAGCTGCATTCTCGACGTTGCCCCGTCTGTCATATTGAAACTGGAATTTGAATCCGGTTGCCAGACTGTCTCATCTGCTGCTGCTGCTGCTCTGTCTCTCTTTCTAACTCTCCACCACTGTCTATACCTCTCTCAATCTCTCCCTCTTCCTATCTCTCTCTCTCTCTCTCTCTCTCTCTCTTCATGTGTCTAGCAGTGATTTTTGTTGTTGTTGTTGTGTTGTTGTTTATTAAATGTCATTAAAGCCATTTCTTTTCTTTGCCTTTTGCTCTTTGGCGCCAGCCACCCATGCAACAGCCATGTGCAAGCTGGAGTAAGACGGATAGAGAGTGGGTATCGATGTGAGTGTCAGAGATAGAGATATAGCGATAGACGGGGACGGGGGGATATACATATATATAGAGTGCATAGTCAGGTCTGTTCAACACTCTGCTCAAATGTCAAAAGGTACAGCGGAGCTTTTTGCAAGAGGAGCACAATAATAACAGCATAGAGCGCAATCAGCAAATTGCATTAAATGACGTTGTGTTGTTATTTGATTGTTGCCAGAGCAGTAGCAGCAGCAGCAGCAACGGCAGCAGCAGCAGCAGCAGTAGCAGCAGCAGCAGCAGCAACATGAAGCACAAGGAAAAGGAAAACGTCGTCCAAATGGGGAAATGAGAAAAACTGCACACATTGGCTGGTTGTTTGTCACGCTGCTCTGTCACATGACTGACTGACTGACTGACTGACTGACTGATTAACTGATTGACTGACTGACTGACTGTATAGCGGACCCTTGCACTTGCACCAAACTCAGCTGGGCTCAAGCGATACATGTACGATTATGAAGAGAACTCAAATCAGGCGCTTACCGCTTGACTGTCTCACGTCTAAATGTGCTGTGAGTTTTGTACACAGTAAACAATTTGGAATAGTTTAGTTCCGATTGAATTAAAGCCAAATGGAAATTTATAAACAATTTTAAGTTTTAATTTGGTACGTGCCGTCTCCACTGCAGACCATGAATCTTTATTGATATTTCATGCAACAGCTGAAAACAATAACAACAAACAACAAGCAACAAACAACAAACAAACAACTGGCTGCGAAATACTCTGATTTTATTTATTTTTATCAATCGTTGAAGGAGGTTCCTGGTAAATTGAATTGCTGGAGATATGGGCTTTTCAGATTTTGTGGGCGTGGTCGGAAAATTGTTTTCCGCTTTTTTGGAGGGTGTAACTAACAACATACAGTGTCTCAGACCTCATTGCGACCAGTGTCGAGCAAAAAATGTAAAGTGCTATAAAGTTTAGACAAGGAAACAAACGCAAAATGTTTAAATGCCAATTTGTTTCATGTTGCTTAACGTTTGAAAAAGAAACTTTAGTTTTTATGAAAATATTAGTTAACTAATTAAAATTTGTCAAAAAGCTGAAAACAAATCCAAAATACATGGGGGAAACCTCAGTTTATTGGGATCATATATTCATGTTGGTGATGAATATATGCATATATAATCGGTCATTGGGATTTTTGAATAATAATGTATAATTACTTTATGGCAGGCAATTAACATATTAGCTAGACACTGGTCGAAATAAGGTGTGAGACACTGTACATTTCAGATCTGATGCATCAATTTTATAAATTGTCTGAGAGCGAGCCAAAAAGAAAGTTCAAATTGTGCTGGATATCGCTTATCAGAATTAAAATTGTCAATTAAAATGAAAATGAAAATGAAAATGAATTCGAAACGAATTTTATTCTGAAGACGTAAAGAATTACTTCAACTACTTATTCTGGCTTTGAAATATGAACTGTAAATGTTAAGTAAACTATTTGTTACTATATATAAATATTGAATTGATTTGAATATGCTTTGCAATGCTTTGTTTTTCACAGTGTATGCAGTATGCATAAGTGTGTGGCACAGTACAATCCACTGTTTTAAAGATCCACTTAAAGCAATTTGATCACTACTATGGCATTTTTACGCTACATGTGTCTCGCCATAAAGTTATTGCCCCTGACTGAATACCGACCTCCTCCTACTCCTCCTGCCCACCACGCCCCGTTGCAACCAACACCCCTGGAACGGCAGCGCCGGCATCAAGGGCGCGAACACACAAATCTGTGGCGCACATTAAACGTTTCACTTAATTAAAATCAACGGCAACTGCAACACGACGCCCCCGCATATTTCACATACATAAATATAAATGTATATATATATATATATATATGTATATCTGTATGTACATAAGTGTGCGTGGCAAGAAGAAGAGCAGCAACTATAGCTAAATGTAGTCGCCAGTCTGTTGTTCTCGCCAAGACGTGCCGAGAGCTCTCTATGTGACTAACGACTTGAAATTGCACTTATTAAGACTTCCTGATTCATAATTTCAGGCAGCAGCCAACAATGAAAACAACAATAACAACAATAACAACAATAACAACGCCAACAACAACAACAACAGCAGCCAAATACAAAACGACAAAAAAAAAAAAAGAAATAATAAAAATTATAAGGGAGAACCAAGGCGAAAACAAACTTGCCGCACTTTTGCCATCGAATCTTGTGAAGAACTCTTGCCGAGTGTGTGTGTGTGTGTGTGTTTGTGTGTGTGTGTGTACATGTGTGTGTGTGTGTGTTTGCGGGTGTTAGTCAACTTTTTTGTTTTGCTACTGATGCACTCTTGCCAGGCATAATCAATTTGCCATAAAACTTAAAGTTTATCTGATTTGTGGCGTGTATTTTTATCAACTAACTGACTAAATGACTGAAGAGAACTTAAGCTCCGTATTATTTTCCATGTGTTGCTGAGCAGATACTTCTGTCGAATGCTGCTCTTTACGGCTCTATTTTGAATATCATTACGAAAATAGTTTTACATGTATTTGCAATGAGTAGTTGGATTCATCCTTGTCAGTCTTGGGCTTTGTTCAAAATTGTGGCTTCTTCTATATCTCAACTTGGCTAATGATTTCCTTATATTCGATGCGAATACAAAGCGCAATGGCAGCCAGCCAGAGAATCAAAGATGCGGCGCCACTTAAAGCCACATAAATGTTGCAATTTTTTACAGTTTTCCATGCAGTCATTTTTGTGTATTCATATTTGTTGTCCCTTGTCTCCCATATGGTTATCTTCTTCTGCTTCTTCTTTCTGTTTTAAGTTTTTAAGCAAACTTTTTTGTGGCTCTCCTTGCGCCTTAAGACTCTACACACACAAGTGTATCAGTATGCATACACTCCTCGCCACTTGAATAGGTCACCTTGTGACCTCTATTTGCAATTGGTCATAGCTTGAAAGCAGACAGATAAAACGGCGACATTTTCTTTTATCTTATTCCTTATCAAAACTTATTGCGAAAAATTGGAGCTAGTTCTATTTATGAGCCTTACAATGGAAAAATTGTAGAAAATACGTGGCATATTCAGAGAAGCGTAAAAGTCTCAAAATAGCTTGAATCTCGATTAGGTATTATTATTTGCAAAAATTTGTTTGCTGGTTGCTTGGTTGACTTGACACACACTAAAGTTTTTTTTTTTTTGTTTTTAATCTGCTTTAAATTCTTAAATAAAGAAACAGAGCTTTTTAAAAAGTTGATTTCTTTTAAAAGGTCCCCTCCAAGTGGGGCAAAATGAATGCTTGGTTTGTGGTTAATCCGATTTGGTTTATATTTACTAATCTAGCATTAAGTTTTCCTTCCGGCTCAAATTCAAACAATTTAATATACTTTAATTAGAGACAAAGGCTAAGTTTTTGGCAAACTTGACGTAAGACAACAGTTTGATTGTTCTTTTCAACTCTCGAAGAATGTTTGTATAACAACATTTTCCGTTGGCACACGTAATGTATCCAAAAATTCGACTGATTTCAATTAGGTTAATTATGGTAAGCAAACCATGTCAATTTGCTATCAATGTTCAAGGCTAATTATCGATCTTACAAGTTGTGGAACGTACCTGTTGGACTCTGTCGAAGTCGCGCCTCGCCGAGCAGGGTTGCCGTTGCCGGGGTTAGGAAGCTGTCCAAGTTGTTGATGGCTACCATTGTCAGTAGGAGTACGAGGAGGGCGCTCATTTGTGGGCGAGGGCTGCTCCAATGATTGCTGTGTTGATGTTGTTCATCTTGATTTTGTTGTATTTGTTGTTTAACTGTTTTTCTTAGTGTTGTTCTTGTTGTTGTTGTTGATTTTGTTTTTGTCGCTGCCATTGCAGTTGTCGTTGTCGCTGATAGTGTTGTTGTTGCCGCTGTTGCGGCCGCTGGCAGCACTGTGGATGACAATAGTGGTGCAGGTGGTGGCGGCCATCGGGAACGCATCTTGGCATTGTTGGGTGGTTTGCGGCCGCATCCGAATCCAATGCCCACGGGCCTCGGATTCATTTTGGCGTTGTCTTTGGCCACTTGTCAGTTATTTGTTTCTTGTTTGCGCTCTCTTTTTAGTTTATTGTTGTCTTTTTATTTCTTATTTATTTGTTTTCTTTGTTTTGTGCTCTGTGGCAACTTTATGGCGCTTTTACACACTTTCCACGCTTCCAACGCTCAGCGGCGGCTGTGCTCCACTTCTTACAAATCGTTGCACTCTTTCTACATTTTCAAAAACAATACCAATTTCAGATTTTAATTTTGTAACACAGACCAATTATAGGCAAAAAAAAAAAAAAATACAAAAAAAAAAACAAATATGAAAAATTGACGTAGAAACAATTAACGATATTTAAACATTTGTTGGTATTATTTTGTTGTTGTTGTTTTTGTTTTCCAACGAAAATTGAATTGACGCAATTAAATTGGGTTTCTCCGTAACAGAAACAGATTCAGATATGAATATTTATGAAATCTTTGCACCGTTCTCCTTTTCCCAGTGCGATAATACGACTACATATTACTGTCAACAACTTGCTCTCTCTCCCAGTCTCTCTCTCTCTCTCTCTCTCTCTCTCTCTCTCGCTCTCCTATTGCCGGTCTCACTCTCGCTCTCAGAGTGGGTGTCTTTTTGGCTCGGTCGTCGCTTTTAACACTTTTTACAATAATTGAAAAACTTTTTGCCGTTTTATGTGAACTTTTGCCATCGCCTTTGCGGATGGCGACGTCGTCAACTTTTTTTTATCAGCATTCAAAAATTAAAATTAATATTGCACTTTATGTATGTGTATGTGTATGTGTCTGTGTACGTGTCTGTGTCTGTGTCTGTGTGGGTGACAGTGGAGAATCAACACACAAAAAAAAAGGATTATGCACTTTGTTGTTGTTGTTGTTGTGTTGCCATTCCAATTGAAGTTTGTCCACAATCCTGCAACGAGAAAGACAAAAAATACTTGGATTAATTAATGCCCAATTTAAACACAATTTGCTCATTACTCATCTTCAATTAAGAGACTTGCACACTTAAATGAAAGCTGTCTAATTCTAAGGGTGACTGATGTACATGCAGAGTATGTGGCAGTCGATCATTTGCCTAATTGACCGAGTACATCCAGAGTATATCAGAGAACAGCAGAGTTCAGTGTTCATTCTTGGCCATTATCGCAGCATTAGGCGTTACACAATGGCGAGTAATAAATGAGGTATTTATTTAACAAAAGCGGCCCGTTAACGAAATTACCGGATCCAAATTTGAGCGAAACGTAAACGCAACGTATAAATAAAAAGCAAAAATAACAAAAAAGCAAAAAAAAATATAGAACATTGTGAAGATTACATTAAATTAAAGCACAAATGAAATGCACGCAGCGGCTGCGACGCCGACAGCAGCAGAAGCAGAGGCAGAAGCAGAGGCAGAAGCAGAGGCAGAAGCAGCGAAAGCGAAAATCAAAATAATAATAATAATGTATTAAAAAAAATGAGCTACAATAAAATACAATGGCAGCAAAGATCATCCATAAGTGGCAGCATATGATGAGCGTGCCGGAGTGGAAAGGAGCCGAGGAGGAGGCCGAGTGCTGTGTGCTGTCTGCTGTGTGCTGCATGGGTGGCATTGGGCAGCCTTACTTCATATCCAAGTGGAAAATTAGCCCACAAAGAAGCCACCAAATAACAGCAGACTCTACGGCAAAAGGAGAGACGGCTAGTTGGAGAGAGGGAGAGCAGAGCAGTCGTAGAGTAGGAAAGGCGAGCGGCGAGCGGTGAACGGCGAACGGATGTCGAGCGGGCGGGGAGTGGCAGGCAGGCGGGCAAACCAACCGACAGACAGACAGACAGACAGACAAACGATGTCGTCGACGGCAGCCAGTCAACAAAAGAAATTGCTAATGTGCGCAAATAAAAATGGCACAAATATATATAGATATAGATATATATGTATATATATATATATATATGTACATATATATACACACACGCATGTATACCATCTCGCTCTCCATTACATTCACATAATTTCTAACTGTGTTTCTTTCTCTCTGTTTCTCTCACTGAACTTAAAAGACAATTGAAATTGAAAATCAGTGAAACCTGTTTTCACACACAAAAGTTCATCACACACGCAGCCATTAGCTTATAGATGCGGAAAAGAGGCAAGAGCGCAAGCAAAGAGGAAGAAAAACGTGCTGAAAAAAAATGGGGAAAACAAGCAAACGAACTGTAATGTAAAAAAAATACAACATACAACAGACAATAGACAAAACACACAAAGGCCCGTGGAGACATTGTCCCAAAAGATAGATGATGGACTTAAAGTCATGCTAACTTTAAGATTCAGCTCCAGCTCAAATATAATTTTTTTTTTTTTTTTTTTAGTATAAATTCTTTCCAGTTAGCTGAGGAGCTTGAAACTTTATGATATTCAGATATTTATCGCTTACGGAAACTAGCCGAAAATAAAAAAGTTTGTGTTTTATGCAAAGGATTTGTAAGATTTATTTGAAATTCAATCAAGTTTCTTGAACTTGAAATTCCTTATTTCTAGTTTTCTGCAGTTCAAATCAAATTGTGTGGAAATTGGAAATTGCTTTCGAGACAAAACTCAAATTTCCCCGATTCGAATAATAAATTACATTTATGGTTAAGATAAAATAGTTTTCGTGTTAAATTTGATTAACGCCTTCTGTTTCAATTAAAACAAAAATTTATCAAATTGATATAAATAATTGTTAATTTGAAACGAAAATAGTGAAAAGTTTTTCTGTTAAATGTTTAACCAGATATGTGGCTAGATATGATTTAAAGAATCAAATGAATGGCAAAAGTGTTGTGAATTATGCAATAAATGCGTTGCCAAGGAAACCGGCGTTGATTTCCCACAATTCCAAAATCCAGCGCCGAGCTTGAATTGGAAATTTTCAATTTAGGCCGAGTCATTACCGGTGCCCAGTGGAAAAAATGGCGGAATGACAGCCGCAAAGCAAACAAGAAACAACAAAAACAAAAAAAAAACCACCTCAACGGAAACGGGGATATGGGAAATATGCGAAAACATGGCAAAAGTGGCGAACGGAGGAGCACCTTGTTACGGCCCCTCAACGCACCTGTCCGTTTTCATTAAGGCCGCGAGCGTGGGTCGAGGAAATTGGTGGAGCCATTTTGGACGTCATCATAACTTGAAATTGAAATTGTGCAGCCGGTGGTGCGAGGGACTCATAGCAGGAGGGGAGTGTGGGCGGTTGTGTGTGTGTGTGTGTGTGTGTGTGGCCTGCGAGAGCCAATCATGCGCCCATCTCCATCGCCAGCCTTAGACATGACTGGGCCGCCCCTCGGCACCTTCAACTCCCCGAAAATCATTTTGAGCTGGATTTATTGCGCACCTCTCAAAGCCGCGCTAATGTGAGCGCTGAAAACCAACCACGGGGGATGAGGGTATTTGGGCATTTTTAAAGCTATGTGGTGTGCTTGGTGCTTGGTGGATAGCGAGGTGGTGCGGTTCTTTGGTGGTGGAAAGACAACACCCAAAGTGACGGCCAATTTGCCATGCAGCCGTTCACGGCATCAGGTGCGCATTATGTCAGAATGAAAATTATGATAAGAAAAAAATAAAAATAATATCATAAAATATACTTAAAAGTATGAAATTTGAATTTGCGGCGCCGCAATACGAAAAGTATTTTTAGGACACTTTTTTCGAGATTTTTTTATGTTTTTTTTTTTCGTTCTTTTAACGCTCAACGAAAAGTAACGAAATTTGAATAGGCTTTAGGCCCTTAGGCTGCAAGCTGGCATTTAAGCCTATGCAAACCAGTCGCAGACATAAACAGTGCACACGAAAATAATACTTACATATGTATATAGATCACATATCGCATATTGATTTCGATATTTACGAATAACAGGCCTGGTCAGATGTACACATGTATAATTTATTTAATTATAAAATGTATACAAAATATGCTCAGACATCCATAGGGATATAGACTAGCAGGCGAGAATGGGGGCGGAGAGGCCCCTAACCGGAACAGAACCGCTTTGTGGCATTGGCAAGACACACAATGCGGCAAAAACTAAGGAACGAATAGAGAAAGACCCCAAGTCTCAGACAAGACAAATGTCTCTGATGCGGTAAGTAACAGATATCAGGGAAGAATAGACTCAGAATACTTACCGGTCTCTTGGCATTGCATTGTAAACTCAGAAGTCATCTAACTAAACTAGCTATAGTCTGAATAGATTTTGGGATAATAAGATATAATCCTCAAGGCATGTCCTAAAATCCCCAATCAGACAACGACTCTTGCATTCGTGCTGCAATTAGGGTTGATGGAGGAGCTAAGCTCTGAGATGGGCCCACAACAAATCATAAAAGATAATCAAAAATGTATCATTTTCAATTGAATTAATGAGATTTTTTATCCTAATTTGCAACGGCTCTCTGGACAAAAACTGTTAAAGAATATCAGAATATAAATGTGTTTTTTTTATTGTTAATTTTTGTTTTTTTGTTTTTTTTTTGGCTACAACTTTATTTTAACCCATTTAATGTGCACATGGTGTGATAATAACTGCACATCAAACTGATTGCAGTTTTTGTGCTGTTTCGCATCCATTTGCTTTATCATATATAGTTATATATATATATATATATATATATATATATATATATATGTGACTGGCGTGTTGAGGTCGCGCTTAGTTTGACTCATCATTGCCAACGGCCAATGGGTTAGCTGGCCGACTAGTCAGCAAAATTTCTTTAGTTCGCCGTAAGTTCTGCTTCTTGTTTTGACCGGATTTGCTTTGCGGCTAACTTGGCTCGAATGCAAGCTGCGCCACATTTGCGTGTGACAAATTGTGCGACAAATTCAATGGCTTTGCGAAGAGAAATACCAACACCAAAATGAATAACACAACTAAATGTGCCCGACTAACAGTTACCCAGTACTACAAACACCAACAAAAATGTACGTTAATAGCATGGCACAACTTTGCCAACTGAGTTTTCCAGCATTTTGAATGTCTACAGGGTATACAAAAAAATAAGCAGGTAAGCTGACTTTTTGGAGGCGCCGCATTTAACTTGTACAACAAGAGTGTTTTGTGGCAACTTCATCTTTTTTTTTTTCTCTTTTCTGGCTCTCTTTGCTAGATGTCTTTTTGCGGCTCTTTGTGGCTTATTCTATGCTTAGCGCTATCCTTGTTTTTTTTTTTTATATTTTTTA